TCGACCTTCCAGACCCATCTTTCGTCCGTTCTTCGTTCTGATTATTTCTAAAACCCTAGAATTGATGTCTTTCAATTCTTTTTCACTTCTTAACCTTAAGATTCATGCGTTGGCCCACTTGTGGGTTTAACACAGCATACTGCACATCCTTCATTATTGCAGTCTGAAAGTCGGTAAAGGTATCTTACCTAACTTAAATTTCTAATTGCTTACTTGATATCATCTTGCTTACATAAGCAAGGTTTAGTGAATACTTGGTAATCACCCCTTAATGTTATATTCTTGTAGCTATTCTTATTACTTCATACTGACTTTTGAGAATTTACTTAGTTGGCATGAAATTTCAGTTCCTAACTTTGCCAACTTCTGAACTCATATTGCATCTAAATTTCTTTACTGATACACTACCCCTTTAATTTCCTTTTATCTATTTGGAAATTAAGGGGTTTCTCTTTAAATGTCAGAGCGTTTCTCTATACGCTGCTAATATTATATTGCACTAAAAGATTCCTAGAATTAGGATTCTCAAACTGTATATGAACGGAGAATTCTTCCGCCTTAATTGCGGTAAGAATTTATGAACTGATTTTACTTGTTCTTAAATTATGAACTCATTATAAAACTTGCTACAGAATTTAGGAATACTGATATTAATTTTGTAAATCCTTCAGCCACAAAATATGACAGTATATTACTGAGAAAAGTCATTGACTTAAATAAATAAATTTACATTATTTAATTCTAAGATTTTCTCAGTCATTACACTAAATAAGTGAAAATAGCTAAAAACTATATAATAGAAACAAAAATTAAACCACTTTTAAGAGGAAACAATGGATAACAAGTAAAGAGTATAAGTAGATATAAGAATTAAACTACTTTTTTCTTAAGCTCCAAGTAAGAGAAAAACATAGATAACAAGTAAGTGAAAAGTATAAAAGGTGAAGGGCATAAATGAAATTAAAAATTAAACCGCTTTTTTTCTTAAATTGTAAGTTAGAGGAAAGAGTAGATAAAAAGTAAGTAGAAGTACAAAAGATAAAGGTACAAAAGATGAAGTGTATAAATGGAAACACAAATTAGATCATTTTTCTTTAAAGTCTAAGTAAGAAAAAATAATAGATAACAAGTAAGTAAAAAGTACAAAAAAATGAAAGGCATAAATAAAAACAAAAATTAACCACTTTTTCTTTCGAAGTAAGAAAAAAAAGTATATAAAAGTAAGTGAAAAGTAAAAAAGGTGAAGGACATAAATGAAAAAATATATATTTTCACAACTCCCGTCTGCTTTAAGACGTTTTTTTTTTTTTCTTAAACTCTAATAAAGAAAAAAGAATAGATAACAAGTAAGTAAAAATTACAAAAGATGAAGGGTATAAATGAAAACAAAAGTTAATCTCTTTTTCTTAAACTCAAAGTAAGAGAAAATAATAGGTAAAAAGTAAGTGAAAAATAAAAAGATTAAAGGCAAAAATGAAAAGTAAAATATTTCATGATAACTGTCTGCTTTAAGACGCTTAGTTTCGACTATCACTCCATAAACATAATCATCAGCCGATTTTTTCACCAATAGTTTTTAATTGGCAGTCCTCTAAATATTTTCTAAGAAATTATCGTATTGTATTTTTTTTAGCCAATATTTCACAAATTATTAGTTGACAGTCCTCTAAATCTTTTCGAAGAAGTTATCGTATCGTTTTTTTTCCCTTAATTAGCAAGGAAAGAGGACAAGCAGATAAATTCAATAATGAAGCCAAGTGGACAAATACAATAAAAGCCAATTAGAAAAAAAAAAGTAAAAACAAGAAAAAAAATAGAAGGGGCATAATGGGAAATCAAAATTAAAAGGCACCTACTTGCCTAGTTGCTTTAACACGTTTTTATTATTTAATAGATATATATAAATGTGATAAAGAGAGAAATAACATAATTGATAAAGTGATTAGTAAATTATAACATATTTCTTAAAAATAGTAAATTAAAGTATAATTGATATTTTAAGTTTTGAACATTAACAAAAACCTAAAAATACCCCTAAACCTTCTTTTCCACCTCATTCATCCCCTATAAACATCTATTTTTAAAAAAACTAGTAAATTATAACATATTTTTTAAAATATGTAGATTATAGTCAAATCCACCATGGCCGGCATCGGCTCACGACCGGCAGCCGACAGGCGGCTCCGTTGATCAGCTCCGGCAACCAGCGATCGTTTTCCAACGACTGGTGACAGTTTTTCGGTGACTATTTTTCGATGATCGTTTAACAATGTATTTACCGATAAATATAATATTTTTCAGTTAATATCGTATTTACTAATAAATACCATATTTACCCGAAAAGCTGACCACCGACTTTGGCGACCGTTTAACGCTGTATTTACAGGTAAATAACGTATTTACCAATAAATATTGTATTTACTAATAAATATCATATTTACCCAAAAATCTTGTCACTAACTCCGGTAACTGTTTAACACTATATTTACCGGTAAATACCGTATTTACTAGTAAATATCATATTTATCCGAAAATTTGGGCACTGACTCCAACGATCATTTAAGACTATATTTATTAGTAAATACTGTATTTATCAATAAATACCGTAAAAACTAGTAAATATCATATTTATCCAGAAATTAGGGTACCGAATCCAACGACCGTTTAATCTTATATTTACCGGTAAATACTGTATTTACCAATAAATATCGTATTCACTAGTAAATATCATATTTATCTAAAAATTCGGTGGCCATTTGCCGACGGTATATGGCTGGGACAGTTTTTCGACGGCCAGTTTCGGCGACTGGTAAATATTATATTTATTTAAAAATTCAGCGACTAGTAAATACCATATTTATCGGTAACTACCATATTTATCATATTTATTTGAAAGTTTGGCGAACGCCTCCGACAATTGATAAATACCGTATTTACCGATAAATACCATATTTAATATATAGTTTTTGTCATATTCAAACTAATTCCATGGTGTATTTAGTGGTAAATATAGTATTTACCCTATTCAAACTCCGGATTTAGAGAAGTATTTAAGATGGAGAATTAGATTCAATGAAATATTTACTGCTAAATACAATATTTACGAGATTGGGAATTGAATTTAATGATGTATTTATTGGTAAATACAATATTTACCATATTCAAAATCACAAACTCAGACTCTAACGGAACCTCTCACCGGTAACCAAATCACAAAAAAAAAAAAAAAAACAAAAAAACAAAAACTAAAAAAAACTAAAAATCCAGCGAGCGACTCCAGTGATCGGCTCCGGCGACTGATAAATACCATATTTACCGATAAATACCGTATTCACTATATTTACTGATAAATACCGTATTTGCCGATAAATACTGTATTCATCATATTTATCTAAAAATCTGGCTAATATTAAATACTACGGAACCAAACAAACTAAAATACACATTTTTGAGTATATGTACATATGTACACATTTTTGAATATATGTACATATGTACAACACATTTTTGAATAGTCAAAATTTGAACATATGTACAGCACAACGTCAAATTTTAGTCCAAAAGATCAACAACAATTACAAAAGGCATAGCAATCAACGAAGAAAACCATTTTGCAGGAACGAAGAAAATCAACTTACAATTATAAAAAAATCAAATTGACACCCTAACTCTATATCTAAAAATCTGAAGATACCTCCACCGCCGCCAACCTGCGTCACAGTCAAAGTTTGTTCTCGTCACCGCCAAAAACTTCAATTTGCCGACCACACATTCGCCCAGTCCTCGCATAAATGGAAACAAAAAGAAAAGATGGAGCGGTAAAATTGGAAAAATAAATAGTTGTTACACCACCTGATTCTAATTATGCTATTAACTTAACAATGTTTAAAAAACATGCTTCAAACATGGTCTCAAAATATGCTATTGGCCGCATTTTCCCTATTATAAATTATTCGAGAAAAAAAAAAGCATATATATAAATTAGTTAAAAAAATGGCGGTAAACTATAAAACGTCGTCGCATTGTACACCTGCTTTAACCGCCTCAAGCACTAGAGGAGCGCTGCAAATTAGGGCTTTTTGTTTCTGGTTTTTTCTTGATCCGTAGGTAAAACAGATTCTTCAAGGATTCAAAACCTTCGCACCAAGACAAATTGAAACTCTTCAATACGGTACAAACGATCCTTAATCATCGCAATCTCTCTTCGTTTTCTCCGAAAATTCATGGTCCGATTTCTCCTCGTATCGTCCAGTTGACTTCCGCCATGACTGTCCGCTTCAAATTCAGAAGCTCGCTGAATTTCGACGCCGTTGCCATCGATGGCCGTCCCTCAATATCCGTACGCGATCTCAAATCCAAGATCATCCGCTTCAAGAACCTTAATATTTGTCAAGACTTCGATCTCGTATTGTCTGATGCTCTAACCGGCCAAGGTCAACTGATAATGATTATCTGAATCTATTTTGCGCTAAATCATTGCTGTTCATATTTGATTCTTGTGAAAAAAAGAGAAATAATTTGTGTTTATTGCTTAGGAATTGCATGAAATTGGAACTGAAATCCGTAGCTCAAATTTTTGTATTTTTTTGTCTATTCCGTGCTGCAGAATTCTCGGTTTCTTTCTTTCTTCCCCCCTTTTTTTTGGGAGATTGAATTTATTTTTTTTGGTCTTGTGTGTTTGATTGATTGCAGAGTACGTTAACGAGAATTTCCAAATTCCGGATGGTTCCAGTGTGATAATCAAAAGAG